TATATATATATATACGTACATGTACATATGCCTATATGCGGAGCCCACAGCCCTACTCTTCGCGAAGACGCAGAAGAAAAACAAAAGTGGGAGAATAGGAAATAATATAAGCAAAAGGAAAGGAAGACATTTCCTTCTGCAGATCTTTCTTTCTCCACACATATAGCAAGGAACATAAGTTATACACATGTTACTGTGTGTTTTCTTTTTTTTTTTTTGCTTTTCCTTTTTTTTTTTCTTCTCTTTTAAAGAAAAAAAAAGGAAATATTGCTGTTACCTTCATAATCAGATAGCAACGACGTCAAGCAATATCACCGCTTCGTGGGATTGGCATTCTCATATGGAGTAAGCGAAAGGTACATCGTTCCATTATCGTCAGATGCTACTGGTATCATTTTTGCAGATTTCATCAAACAAGTATTCTCTATCTCACCTACAGATGGAAAATCTGTAGAAGTACATAAAGTTTCAGTTCTATGTTCTTCTTCACTATTTTTGTTATTATCATTAGTAGTGCTACTTTGTACACAATTTTTCAGACTTCCAGTAGCAGTAGATTGAGAATGAATAGCCGCATACAACTGATGAACGTTAGGAAATTCGTATTCAATGATCTCACTTTGGAGATCTGAATAGGTACGAGTACCATCATGTCGTACCTTTAATATTAAAAGAGGTGCACCTATACTGCCACGTTCTGTGATAATGTTTTCTCGTGAAATATCCAGACAAGAAGAAATATCTTGCGCAATTGCTTCGCATAGACGATACCTCTCTGTAGTAAGTAAAACACCCCATTTATCACCTTCAAAAATAATACGAAAGGATGTCACAACAGGAAATAAATCATCAAAAGGAGAAGAGAAGTTTTCATCCATATTATTATTATCCATATTATTCGTAGTGATAACATCTGGGGTAACGGATGAATTCTCACTTTCTTTCGTTTTTTCAACTGCAACATTTTCAGTCACTGATGGTTTAGACTTCCCTCCTTTAGTTTTGGACATTCCATAATACATCCTAACACCCTCTGATGCCTGAAGTATCAGACGCAAACTTAACTCCTCAGATATTATAGTATTACGTTCCGCTATTTCCTCATCTAGAATCATTCTTTCCTTTTCCAGTGAAATAGTCGCTGAATTTGAATCACTTACACTCATATGAAATGGCACGCGAGAAGGTACATTAGGTGCTCGAAAGAGAAGATTCATTGCTTTTCCTGCAGACTCATTCACTTTTTTTTCTGATTCACTGTTGGGTGGTGAAATGCTTTCCCTTACACTTTCTTCATGAGGTACCTCATCATTTTGTATACTCCCTCCCAAATCTGACTTCACCACAACATGAAAAGAACCTGCACAATTATGAGTATTATGAGGAGTCAGTAAAGCATAGCTATTAAAATCCTTGTCCAAATACATAATATACTGCACATCAAGGTTCAACAAACTTGCATTCTCTTTAATAGCATTACCAATACTTTCAAAACTGTTAGTATGTTTTCCACGTGGAGCGATAATCTTTGACATGCCAACTTTTTCACCATCACTTGAGAAGTAAGTTACTGTCCAATAACTGGTACTTTCAACTGTTCTATTTCTCTCAAAGTAAATAGGATGATCTGAAACATCGTTATTATAAGAACCAGAGCAATCATACAAATCATTACAATTAAAGCCAGCAAAACTTCTTGAAGAACACAAGAGATCAGTGTACCCACGACTTGTTACTGAAGATATTGTATCCATTAGCGAAGGATTTGGAGTGTAATGTTGCACTTTCGGAACTCGAACTCCATCTGGAAAAGGAGAAAGAGTTTCAGCAGAATCCACAAAACGACGGGAACTAATCGTACTACCCAACGTCTTATCTCCAACAAATGTAGAACGACTACATCCAGATTTGGCAGCGCTAGGTTTCCACTTCTCCGATGAAGTTGAGGTCATCATAAAAGAAATACTATTCAAAATAATAACTACACCCTCCAATTGATGAATTATATTTTCCACTATTCTCAAAATGAAAAAGAAAAAATAACTTTTCCTTTCTAAAAGAGAAAGAGAAAAAAGAAAAGAAGAAAAAGGTAAAAAACATATAATCTCACAAATACAAAACCTGACGCGCAACGGCAGGATGCGCGGGGCTGGTGCGTACGCTGGCAGCCGTCTGAGTAGGAACAGGAGGGGAAGAATGAGAGGGAGGGGAGGAGGGAGTTGCAACATGGTCGTCGTCAGAGAGGCCCCGGGAGGAGCCGTCGCTAGTGTTCATTTCACCGCGCAGCGCGCATCGAAAAAGGTACACTCAGTTAGCAGGGTCATCACGTGGAACAACATCGTCGCATGAAAAGAGGCAGTTTGGGCAGCACACCGCCGCACGCCACGTATTATCTCCGGAACTACCAGAAGGCACCACCGCAGCACAGCAAAGCTCACGGGCACCTCGGATTGTCCCGTGGGCAGCCACAAAGTGGGATTGTGGGGAAACCATTATGTGAACAACGCGTTTCTTACACCAAGACTACCCTATCAGAAGAAAAGCAAGGTCAAAAAAATAAAAATAAAAAAAGAATTTCTCAAAGCACCAATGAAGTTAAATTAATCACTTCGTCTGACGTTTAATAATGCAAAATTATAGTGTTATCATGACGATAAAATGGGAATTCCTTTAGTAGAAAGGTAAAAAGAAGTTCTGATTCTGTATTACATAAAAAGGCAGGCTGCATTTTGCAGCCTAATGTTTCACAGGCAATCAGATTATCTCCAGTTCACTGCCTGGATTACGCAACCACATTGATATGAGAAGATACAAGGCAAAACAGTGTTTTGATAGCAAAAAAAATTATAAACACTGTACTTAGAAATCAAGGAGAACATGTATAAATTATTTGTGGGAGTGATAAAAACACGTGGAATGTATAGCACAAACAACAACCATGGGGTAAAAGCCTTATTTAAAGGGTTCCCCAGCGTATATAAAAAAAAAATTGCCAATTATAACCCTCTACACCTTTATTTTATCCTGTGGGTATTGAATTGCAGTTATATTTCTGTAGGAAAATAACTTGACTTCATGCCATGAGCACTATAAAGACAAGAAGCTCAAGAAACATCAATGGCAATACAAAAAAAACATTAGCAACACTGTCAGAACGTTTGTGTTGGGGTTCTTCTCTCTTTCCATTAATATAATTATGCCAATCTTCAGCGCCACTAAGTATATATTGCGTACTTGGTTTTCCAAATATGTACGATTTGTTAGTTATGTTCAATGCCAGAGTGACACAGACATCCATATATTTGGGACACAAGATACGACCTTTTGTGAAGGGCTTTTTAGGAATTATACCTCCACCCTCTGGACAAGGGTACCAATTGTCCTCACCAAGGTATCGCAAATACAAGATACCGCTCACGTTACACGACACTTCTACACACACATCGCCGACAAAACGGTTCCCAATATGAAGTGAATCCCCGTGTAGGCATCTGGATTCCGGCCCAACACGACTTCCCGGCCAATAGTTTTCTACATCGGTGCACACCCCACGAACCGCTGGTTTGATCACAGGACAATGGTCTGTGAGTTGACGACCTCCTCCAGCAATAGAAGTCTCTGTGAAGTACTGGTACTGCAACGGAAGGGTCCTACCAAAACTCTCCAGGTCACAATTTCCTAGCGCCAAACGGTCAGAGGTGCAACGGGGACCCTTAAATTTTTTGGTGCAGAACATATCGGGATATCTGGTGTTGTTGTTTTTCACACATTTTTCGTACAGGAACTCGCAACCAGCATCCTTCCCCCAGCTCATCTGCTCTTCCATACCCCAATTGGCTCGATAATAACCTAGATCCTCAAAAGCTGCCATTGTTAGCGCCGTGTAATAAGAAACACCAGATAGCCCAGCCATCAACTCATCCTTGACATTACGCCGCTCCCAGTGTGAGTGTGCAGTTCCATCGCTGCCCTCGTCTTCCAGTTCCATACCAACAACATCATCACAATTGAAATGCTTGCGCATCACCTCCAGGGTCTTCTTAGAGGACACCACCAAGACATCCCTCTTGCCACGAAGTATTGGTACAATACTAAGCATTCCACTTTTAGCAAATAAGAAAGAGGAGAAACCCAGGACATGTGCAATTTCGTGTGCTGCAGCCCGTGAAACCAAACGTGTCGCAGTAATGTATCTCGGTCCGAAGTTCATTGCGCCAACAACAGGTCTACCATTATCAAGAGTGTAGCAAGGAACACCCCACGCAATAACTCCCTCAGGAGTTGGTCCTGCAGCAACATAGAGCAATATATCCACACCAGTGACACCTGGGTAATGATGATTAACAGGAATCTTAAAAGGAGAACACAAGGGAGTAACAAACCAATCTACGACTATTCCATCCATTCGCTCCACAAGAAGACGGTCAGTATGGAGTTTAATCGACTCAGGAAGCAAGTGGTTGACAAGCAATATCTTCTTCTCCGTTGTCAGAATATCTGCCTCAGTGCATACAAGAGTGCCTCCTTCAAAATCAGGGCGTCTTTGCCCTGCTCTGGTGCAGTACCTGAAGTCGTCCTTCAGATCTTCAATGGAAACTCCGAAACGCATCCGCTCCCACCCCTGGTTGGCAGCAATGTAAGCCTGCAGACCATTTCGTCCCTTCCGCGGCAACTCCCGCACAACAGGCAGTGGTTCGCCATGCTTTACCCTTTGATCAAACGTGCAGCGGTGCTCCACAAATCCAAAGCTAACACAAACTGATTCAAAGAGCATCAACAGCAACGCCAACCACAGTCCATGCATCCTCTAACAAAACAAAAAAGACTAGAATAAAAAAAAATGCACTATTACCACAATAAAGCACCAACACATCTCGCCGAGGAAACAACAAACAAATCAAGTCATAATAAATAAATAAAATAATACAAAATACACTTCTAAATCTGCACCAAGATACAAAAAAAAGCAAAAAAAAAAATATTCACTCAACATCATCAAACTAAAAAAAAAAAAAATGCTACTCATGCAACTCTTGCACAGTGTCGGCACCAGCAAGGCATTAGTTAGCCAGTACTGGTTTCTTCTTCTGCGCTCGTACAGTGGATATCTCACACACCTCAGGACCTCGCGGCAGGACAAGTGCAAACAACTGCCGAGGGCATTTAATGTGTTGACAGCCAAGACGGTGCAAAGCTCACATCTCGCGTGACGACAAGGCCTGACGCGCAACGGCAGGATGCGCGGGGCTGGTGCGTACGCTG